TCTCTCTCTCTCTCTCTCTCTCTCTCTCTCTCTCCCCCCCCCTTCCCCCATCACTCACTTAGAGAAGATTAGGGGGTGGGGGAATTTAAGTGGATAATTAAATAAAAGAGAGAATTAAAGAGGGGAGATTTAAGAGAGAATAGTCACTGTAGCTACAATGTTGATTTGTATTTATTAAGAAATCTCAAGTTTGAGATTTGCTCTTGCATTGTAATTCCTTTGATTAATAAGAAATTAATTATGTAGCTCCCGAGGACGTAGGTAAGTTTGTCGAACCTTGTAAATCTTGGTGTACTTTTCTCTATACTTCGTTTCTTATTGTTTTAGAGATTTAGCGTAGCCTCGGGTATTTTTTCCCAACAGGCCGGAGCAATAAAAAGAAGTTTCTCTTATTCTTCAAGCTGGAGCGGAGGGTGTAAGAAGGCTGAAGAACGATGGAGGATAGAGAAAGAGAGAGCAAGAATGGTGGAAAGGAAAGAGATTGATGAGAACTTCTGGGGAGAAATAATAGGTAACAACTAACAAAGAAGGAACACAATTAGCTGGGATTTTTTATCTGATATGCTTAAGGGGCTAAACTTCCCTGAAGATATGGTTAATTGGATTATGGCATGCATCTCATCTCCAAAGTTTTCTATCTCTTTAAATGGCTCTCTTCATGGATATTTCAAAGGTCAAGGTGGGCTTAGACAGAGAGATCTTCTCTCACCTTACCTGTTTATATTGGGCATGGAATATCTCTCTAGGAGCTTGAGTCTCTGGGATAATGATAGACTTTTCAAATATCATCCAAAATATGCAAAACTAAAAATTACACATCTCATTTTTTGCTAATGATCTGCTCCTATTCTCTAAAGATGACTTATATTCTGTTTCAAAACTCTATCAATGCATCAAGGAATTCAGTATCATTTATGGCTTGGAGGCAAATTCTGATAAGACCTCTATCTATTATGGTAGTGTTGAGGATAATACTAAGGCTGTCATCCATAATCTTCTGAGTTTCTCTACTGGTACAATGCCTATCAGGTATCTAGGTGTTCCTTTAATCTCTTAATGACTGTCCTTCATGGATTGCAATCCCCTCTTCATAAAAATAATTGGGCAATTTCAAAATTGGCTAAAGCATATAAATTTATCCTATGCTGGTAGATTACAAGTTATAAAGAGTGTGATTCTTGGTGTTCAAATATTTTGGACCTCAAACTATATACTATTTGTTAGTGTGCTGAAAAAATTGATGAGCTATGCAACAAGTCCTTATGGGGCAAAACAGATCAAACATTCAAATCATCTCCGGTTTCTTGGAGGATAGTGTGCATGGGCAAGGATCATGGTGGATTGGGTATCTTTTCTGCCCTTAACTGGAATATTGCATCAGTTATTAAATGTATTTGGTGCATACATAACAACAAAGAATCACTATGGATAAAGTGGATTCATGAAAATTACTTAAAGCATAGTGATATTTGGCAAGTGGTGGCTAAACCTGGGGACTCATAGATGTAGAAGCAAATGATTAGAATAAGAGATAAAGCAATTGCCTCGTGTGGTGGTTTGAACAACCTGAAGGTGCTCATTAATTCCTGTCATAAAAATGAAAAGCTCAGGATATCTACTCTGTATAATGCAGATTACACTCAACTAGTAATGTGCCGTGGTCCAAGGTGGTTTGGGGGGGATTCAATATCCCTAAACATGCCTTCGTGAGCTGGTTAACCTTTCAAGACAGACTCCTGACCAAAGACTGACTTCTAAGGAGAGGTCTTATCAACTCTAACCAATGTAGTCTGTGTGATAATACAAACTGTGAATCCATGAATCACTTATTCTTAATTTGAGTGTTCATTTTCCTGTGAAGTATGGAGCAACACGATGGATTGGTTGGGGTTTAATTGGAGATCATGCTACTGGAATCAGATATTGGATTGGTTTACTATCAGGTTGAGGGGGAAGGGAATCAAACATGATCTCAAAAAATGACGCTGACAACAACCATCTACAGCATTTGGAGGGAACGCAATGCCAGAATTTTCCAACAAAAATGCAAGAGCACAACGCGGTTAGTTAAAGAAATCAAGACTGATATATGGATTACAATCCTCAATAATCCCTTAGCAAAAAATACAGGGTGTAATTATCCCTGTGCTTAGAGATTTAGATTAAATGATGTGTAGTTTGGAAATCTTTTTTATAACCTCAGTTCCTAACTGAGCATTTTGATGTACTATAACTTTCAATTTGGTGATCAATAAAATTCTTTCATTGACCAAAAAAAACTAACAAAGAAAGACGAAACTACCCTCCCACTTTTCCAGCTTATTTCCAAATTTTATGAGATTTAAACATTAAAAAGAATTCTAATTATGAAATATCAAAGCAAAGCCCAAATATTTATGTAATGGATTGGATTCATTCCAAAAATTTATCATTTATCTTATCCACGTGTTTGGTATTCATTTCCTCCCTCTTTTGCACTCAAGAATAGCCACAACCGCCCACATGTATGTTTCAATAGTGGAGAGGATCCAAAAAAGGAAATCTTGAGATGAATAATTTGTTGGCTTCTCCGTGCAGGCATAACGTAAAATCTCTACTCTAACTAATGTTAATTTAATAACTCTAAATCAGCTTGATATTTTTTTAGTGCCTTAATAACTTGCACGCTGTCACGATAGGTGCATGCAAGTTGCCATACTGCTCGGTAACCCCAAGAAAGCTTACCTTAGACATGTTTGGGAGATCACTAATGGAAGGAAAGATTAAACTTTTCTTTCTTTTCCCTTCTCCAAC